TATATATATAAATACATTTTTGACCTGAAGTACTGAAATAACTCAAATTAAATAAAACTAAAACTTAAAAAAAAAACTATATAGACATAATAAAAAACTAATAAAATGACAACATTACTACAACTGTAACTAAAACTAAAATAGATAACTAATACAAATCAAACTACATTAGTTTATCAGTAATCCTAAAAAAAATTTGTATGTGTATCCGTATACTTTTTATTAGTAATGAATTACTACTGAACGGCTAGATGTTGCACTGTTTCTTTTCATAACTCTATTCACTACAAAAAAATTATCAATAATATTATTATTGTTATAATATTAAATCGTTAATATTAATGGTTTAACAGAAACCGCATGCAAATAATTTGCGATACAAATTGTGAAACTGTATATTAACTGGACAAAGGGCAGCATTGAATCTATTCAAACATCCTTTTTATGGCTACACTTGCATTTATTGAGGTACTATGGAAAGTTGATACAAGCCTTGTAGAGATAAAAGCCTCTCTGTATTATGGTATATGGATAAATTCAAAAGTCCAAAGTGAAAATGCATTAGTCTGCATTATTCTAATTTAATATGAACGAAGTGTATTGTTGGCATGACGATTTTTAAGTTAGATTAAAAAATTAACATGAATGTCAAAACGGTTTTTGGTTAGTCCATCTTTTGTTTCAGTGGCAGCAGAGCTGAGGTGAGCTTCATTTATTGGTTCATGTTGTCCATCATGATTTGTTAATAATATTCCAATTGAAGAAAGGAAGTCTGACTTTTTGTACAAAGGGTTAACATGGTGAAAAACTGATTTTTACTTTTTGATTAGAATGTGGGCAAATTTGCGTATAAAATTTGACCTTGAAATGCTGAATGTGTCTTTGTTTTCAATGCGGTCTCCAACATTTGGACCCCACTTGTGTTATCTTTTACTAATATTTAAATTTGTTTGATCTGAAACATTAAAGTGTGACAAACATGCAAAAAAATAAGAAATCAGGAAGGGGGGCAAAACTTTTTCACACCACTGTATATAGTATTATATAACTGAGCCTGCTTAGTTATGCATTCAATATGATGAATAGCAAGATTCAGCATGATTTATTCCATTGATATTTTGGCTTGGCTGATTGGCAGTAAAGTGCACAGAATTGACAGAACAATCTAAGTGGAGTTGTCCTGGATATAGTGCCAAGTTTATGGACATGTTCTGCTTGCATCAGCGCCACCAGTGGCCGAGGAGTGTTAGATGCTCGTGTATTCCTGATTGAGTGCTAAAAAACTAAAACATACACTTGTTTTATGTCAGCAGACTGAAGGAACGAGTCAGGTTAGTTGATAATTAGCTATGGGACGGCCACTCTCGTGTCTCATCCACAGTGGATCTAGGAGTTGCCATGGACTCCTCCTGAAAATCTGGTTTTGTTTTTAAATATTTATATAAAAACTCTCAAGGGCAGCTGTTCCTGTTAGTTCTTGCCTAATGCTTTTCCATTCACCATCAAGCTGTTTGAGGGGCTCCTGTGCTTATTACCTATAACTGCTGTCTATCCTCAGGGGATCTGAGATTATTGATGCATCACTAAACACCTCACAAATACTCTGTGCTAATGCCAAGTTCTGTCTGTTATCTACTAATAAGACTCTGCTTCTAAGTCTGCACATGAATATGTTAGCTATGCTTTTTCAAAATTTCGTTATAAGGTATACAACACATATTAAAGTGGCCACTGTGCCTGGTTAGTTGGTCTTTCACTTCAGTGTTTAATTTTGTGTTTTGTTTCTCCTCGCTAGTAGATGTCAAACCTTATTTACAGATGCTCTAGATAATATTGTTTGCACTTCTGCTTCACATCATCACATGCCAAATAATCCCTAAATCCTCTAGAATACTGCAAACAAATCATGATGTTAGTAGAATTGATTTAAATAAATAAGTTGCATCAACGAGCAAAACTTGTTGAATGACTAAAACACTTTTGTGACTTCTGGGTACTACTTACAGTTTTGTAGACACTTGTTTGTTTGTTTTTTGAGCTATGTGAAGGTTACAGAAGGCTAAAGAGTGTTAAAGAATATTTTAAGTAACCATACTGCAGTGTTCTTTTAGTATAATTGATTTCTTATAGTTTTTGTTAAAGGGGTGGTTGATTGCGATTTCACTTTTTTAATGTTAGTGTGTAATGTTGCTGTTTGATCATAAACAATATCTGCAAAGTTATGAAGCTGAAAGTTCAATGCAAACGGAGATAACGTCTTTTAAAATTCTGGCAGTTTAATGCCTACAAAAATGACTGGTAAGGGACTACAACGAGTTACTTCCCGGGTCCGTTACGTCAAGAACCCAGAATTTTACATAAACCCCGCCTCCGGGAACACACAGCAAAGGGGGCATGCTGCGCTGCTTTAGAGAAGAGGAAGAGAAAACTAGAGGTGCACTTAAAAATCTACTCCTATATGAATCGCAATTATGTCTTCTAACGATTCTAATGGATTCACAAGTTTCAAAATGTTCTAAAGCAGCGTTCTCATCCTGTTCCTGGCCTCGCCCTGCTCTGCACACGCCCTGCATCTCTCTCTCTCTCTCTCTCTCTCTCTCTCTCTCTCTCATTCAGATCATCAGACCAGTGAATACACTTATTTTCACATACTATAGCTATGAGAAGCGTTAAACAAGTCTGAGTTAAAGGATGCTCATCCCAGCGAATAAACCTTCAAGTCCTGTTTTTTGGTGTGTTTGTGTACAAAAGTGGCAGCCAGAGCGCATCGCATTCAGACGACGCATACACACAATTAACCATCATTAATGCTCGCGTATTAATAACCGTAACGCACACCCGACTTCTTGATTTCTTTTAGAAACGTTCATATCTTTTGCAACCAGATGCGTGCAGTTGCCGAACTGTATTAAAGCTTTAATCAGAATAAAACTGTATATTAAAAGCTAACAGAAGCAGTAGCATTTACAAATAACACCGTATCTAAAAGTATGAGACAACAACAAACAAAAAGCTTAGGCCTACCATTAAAAGCCGTGCTTGCACAGGTTCTGCGCGATACTCTTCACTAATATCCTCTGCATCTCAATCGGGCTCAAATTGATAAGCAATATAGACGACGTCATTGTTTACAATACAACCGGAGCACATGCTGCTATGTTGAGGGGCGGGACGTTTAGACGCACGCTAGAGGCGGTTTAGCCAATCACAACACACTGGGCTAGCTAACCAATCAGAGCCCATCGTGTATTTCTGAGGGAGGGGCTTCATAAAAGCAGGAAATGATCAGCGCGTTCAGAGGAGAAGGGACAGAGCGGTCGGGAATAAAGGTAAATTATGTGAAAAATAATGCGTTTTTTTAATAAACGAAGCATTAACACATGGGACTGCACCCCATAAACACAACCAAGCCTATAAAAAAACAGTCAACCACCCCTTTAATATTTTAAATTAGATTTTATTTTTCTGTTTTCATTTTAATTGTAAAGTTTTAGTAATTTTTTTTAATGAATAGTCATTTTTATTAGTTCTTTTTCAAATATATCGGCATGGTTCTTATTAGGGATGTAACGATTAACCGAGAGCCTATATATATATATATATATATATATATATATATATATATATTTTTTTTTTTTATGACGATATCTGTACAATCTCTGTTTTCACCTTCCTTTCTCTTTGTATATACATTTTATGGCCACTTTTTTGGCTAGTATAAATTTTCTCCAGTGTCATGAAACCTTGATGAGTATTTGACTACAGTTTCTTTAAATCTCCTCACAGACCGTGTCATACACACAGTTCCTGTATCCAACCAATGCCCTGGGTCGTCGAAACACCATCGACTCCACGTCGTCTTTCTCTCAGTCTCGCAATGCCAGCCACCGCAGCCTCAGCCTGGCACGTGCCAACAGTAACCAGAGTAGCCTTG